TACTTTATAAGTGAAGCTGGTAAAGTAGAATGGCAAGATAGAATGATTCATTAAGTCAATAAAAGTAATGTGCTCAATAAGCTTATGTTAAATGTCTTGTTAGTACTACCAGTAATGGTCTTTGATTTTTATTCTTTTGGTAAAAAGTTTTTGCCACAAGAATTATTTTTACTAAAAAATAACATTTATTTATAATTAACATTTATTAAAATTGTTCTTAGTATAAACATACAAATAAAAAATTTTAAAAGTAATTTTTTATACATTTTTATGCTATAGATCTGGTCCCTGGCACTTTTCCACCTTTGCTGTACTTTGTCCACTGAACCATGATAAAGGTTGTTGAAGACTGTATGTCTTTTTTTTGGTTGAACAGATTTTTGGGGTTTTATTATATTTAAATTTTAAGTAACACTATGATCGTTAATATATCAATTTTTTTTCNTATTTAAGTAACACTATGAACGTTAATATATCAATTTTTTTTCGTTTAAATTACAACTCTTTGCTAAGAAGGCACGTCGCCGACTGACTTAATTAAAAGTGGTGGTCAACGACTGTCCACGTACATGTTGATAACGATAGTCGGACTAAATAGAACGGGCGCCTTAAACACTGTTTTAAATTAAAGATTATTAAACAAATCAAATAAACAAAAAAAAACAAAATATTATAAAATACTACAAATAAACCAAAGGAATAAAACTTATCAAATAGATTTAACAATTAATATTCGACAATATCCATCGAAAAAACACACAATTGGACTCTCATAATTTATCTACACAAAATAAATATAAATAAATTAACAAATAAATAATCGAAAATGTTTAATTTTAACATTATGAATCATTGAAGCAATTTAACTCATTTTTGATTGCCCTCAAAAGGTAACGGACATAATTGTCATACCGCTCTATTAGTTTCACCGTTTGTATTCCTAATTGTCGCAGAACGTATAACACCATCTTTACCATGCTTTACCCAACTTCCAATTCAATGACGCTACATTTTCATCGCGTAACATAACTATAGTGCCAACGTTAATATTAGGACCCTTGGCCTCTTCCACAAGATTTGGGAAAAATGTCGCACACGACGCCATCGATCTAACCGATCGGTTTGAATACCGGTTTCGTCCGCTT